ACGGGGAGGAACGAGCCGTCTCTCCGTCAGAATCACCTGACGTTATGGAAGTTAACGTTCGTTCCCCTGCGGCAGCGGATAAAGAGAAAAATGTAGAACCAGAATCCACGCTCGCTACAATTTCTTTACGCGCGCTCGTAACGACTAAAGAGGCTGGTGTCATTATTGGAAAAGGTGGTAAGAACGTGAGCGAAATTCGTGATAGATCTGGTGCTAAGGTTACCATATCAGAAATGGTTCAAGGCGCTTATGAAAGAATTCTGACGGTTACTGGGCCTTTAGATACTGTCGCAAAGGTATATTACTCATTTTCTAACGAATCAGTGTGTAATGTTTTTCTTAAGCATTGAATTGCCACGATCATTATTGGTTTTCTATATCGCAATGTTCAAAGGAAAATGCTTTCAAATGGAAAATACACAGTATAAAAATAATTTTTAGCTTTTTACATATTAAACAATAGTATTTGTGATTTACAAATTGTTTTAGGCTTTTGCTTTGGTCGCTCGGAAAGTTCTGGATGAAAATTTGGACACACCATCCACTCCTAATTCGAAGTCTACTACTATTCGGCTTCTTGTTCCTCATACCCGAATGGGTCCTGTTATCGGTAAAGGAGGAACCAAAATTAAAGAAATTCAGGAAAAGTCTGGTGCAAGATGCCTGGCTTCTGAAGAAATGCTTCCACTATCTACAGAACGAACTATTTCAATCACGGGTGTTCCTGATTCAATCCATATCGCAGTTTTTCATGTTGGAGAAGAACTTGCTAAACATCAAAACGATCGAAATACTGGAATTACTCTGTACAGACCTCAACCGCGGATTCTTTACCATCAAGCCGCTCCGGTTGCAGGTACTCATCCGTTTTATGGACTTCCGCCGGCACCTCCACCATATGGACGTGAATTCATGCCAGGACCTCCGGGGCCGATTAATCATCAACCCCCGCCAGGATCTCAAGCACAACAAATTTTTATTCCTAACGATATGGTTGGCTGTATTATCGGTAAGGGGGGAAGTAAGATCAATGAAATCAGACACCTTTCTGGTTCACATATCAAGATTGCTGAACCACACGGAAATACCAACGAACGACTAGTCACTATTACGGGAACCCCTGAATCAAATCAGATGGCACTTTATCTGCTATATAGTCGGCTTGAAACCGAGAGAAGAAAACCCAGTGTCTAAATATATTCGTAGTTACTGTACGGGTTTTGAAACATTAATTGAATTGGTTTCTAACTCAATGTAGTGATAATGTTTTTGAATAAGAAATCCATAGATTTTTTTTCTTTTCACCATGGGACATTATTCACAAAATTTAATGAAATCAAATTCAATGAACATTTTCTTTTTTTCCTTTTTTTGAAAAAAAAAACTTAGTAATCAAAAAAGAACTTTGTTGTGAGTTACTTTAGTATTCCTTTTTAT